CCGAGCCTACGACGCCCCAGTTTTTCTTATCCGTTCAACTTTCAACTCGCGACCATTATCCGCGCGACGAACCGATCGCCTAAACGCGTCGCCTGAACACTTCGTCTTTCCCTCGTGATTTTCGTTCCTCTGGGAATTCATTGTTTTGAACCCTTTGCGGACGAACGTTGGGAATTTCGGAGAGATTTTGGTATTTCGAAGACTCGAATGATCGAATTACTCGACAGCGAGAATTAACACTGGAACTACCGAGCATTTAATACGAATGATATGCAATTCCTATAAAAATTGTAACAATATTTTCAGTTTCTTTAGATATTCGTTATAGTTCTGAAATGAAATTACTTATTTTTAAAATCGTTTCGAATATCCAATGCTTCGAAGATATTAATAATTGCTAAACAAATAATTGAAGCCAGTCATTGCGACTGGTACGGTAGTTCTAGTGTTAAGTAATTTATATGTAATTTAATTTTTGCTGAGGTTTCGTATATTTCAGAGAATCTTCGTCTATAAAGATTGATAAGTCGCGCACAAATGATTGAATTACTCAAACAGCGAGAGATCAGCACGCAACTTCCTTTCTTCCTGTTAATTAACACTAGAACTACGAGCATTTAATACGATTAATATACAATTCCTATAAAAATTGTAACAATACTTTCAGTTTCTTCAGACATTCATTATAGTTCTGAAATGAAACTATTTATTTTCAAAATCGTTTCGAATATTCAATGCTTCGAGGGTATCAATAATTGCTAAACAAAAAAATCGAAGCCAGTCATTTCGACTGGTACTTTATGGTATTAAGTTGTATTTTTACGTGTTGTCCATATTGTTTCTTTATCTCATTAAATACATATATATTGTTTCCTAATTCTCTTTCCACTGAAGATCCACCTTTTCAATGTCTATAATAATAGTAGCCCCACTATAAACTTGGTGGCTCGTCCGGGATCACTATAACATTGACAAGCTAATTGCAACATTGTTCGTCGTTAATTTTACTAATGTTCCAGATGTTCCTCCTAAGTAGCTCGTCGATGTTGACGACAGTATAAACAGAGCTCCACGGAATTGTCAGAGAGATTTCAGATTAATCCGCTCGACTCGTTTGTCGGCATTATTCGAGGGAAGAGCTACTTACACTGTAAAGGAAGAGATTGGTCTCGTATCCCGTCTTCTTCTCGGCGTTCCCGCCGCCCACCATGGGATCGCTGTCTCTGCCGGCGCCGCCGCCATCGCCTGTAACAATGAACAGAGAATTTCCATGTATTATTACCTCGGGAAATGTTCCTCGCTTGATAGTCTAGGTTCTTTATTGCTGGAACGTGGAGTACCACGACCATTGGATAATTGCACTCGACTCGTAGACAATCTCTTATTCAGCCTCCATTGATTTTAACTACCGAATGGGTCAAATCGAGCTATTCTTGGATTCGACTTTCTGAATTATTAAAAGATTAATGGATATCTGAGAGATTAGTGAAGGAATCGGTTTAGTAGGCACGTTGAATTGTAAGTTAATTGGAATGGCAATGAGTAATATCAGTGAAGGTCTCGAAATCTAAAGAATACATTGCAATAAAAACCTCAAAATCTAAAGAATAAATGATAATGACGATCTTAGAATCTAAAAAATACATTGCAGTGAAGATCTCAGAATCTAAAGAATAAATTGCAATAAAAACCTCAAAATCTAAAGAATAAATGATAATGAAGATTTTAGAATCTAAAAAATACATTGCAGTGAAGATCTCAGAATCTAAAGAATGAATTGCAATAAAAATCTCAAAATCTAAAGAATAAATTTCATTGAAGATTTCAGAATCTAAAGAATAGATTGCAGTGAAGATCTGAGAATCTAAAGAATAAATTGCAATAAAAATCTCAAAATCTAAAGAATAAATTTCATTGAAGATTTCAAAATCTAAAGAATAAATAGCAGTGAAGATCTCTGAATCTAAAGAATAAATTGCAATAAAAACCTCAAAATCCTAAGAATAAATTGCAGTGAAGATCTCAGAATCTAAAGAATAAATTACAATAAAGATCTCAAAATCTAAAGAATAAATTCCACTAAAAATCCCAAAATCTAAATAGTACATCTCGACATCTACACTCGAGGTTTCCTACGGTAAAATTTGACGAAGACAATTTGACTATTCGGCAGTGCTAATACCGTCTTAATAAGGCGGCGAAGTTTTAATAGAAATACGACGTCGGAAACGAGTACCGGTCCAGCTGAAAAGTTTTAATAGTCGCCGGGAGAGGCGAGTCGGCAGCTTCCAATCCTGGTTAGCGAATAGAAATCGGTTTTATTCGATTCGAACGCGAATTTGGTAGAGTTTCCGGGTAGATCGGATTTGTATCCAATTTACAAGATTACACAGGTTTCCCGGTATGCTTTTCGGCCCTTTATTTACCGTCCGCCAGTCTGGAAGTTAAATTGGAGCTGGCATGGTTAATTCGTCGATTGTCAGTAGTCCGAGTCGATGATACGGCGGACGTTCTCGACGGTGCAACTTCGTTACTACTTTCAAGATAACTTGAAATACGATAGTTTATTCGAATATTTTTCATAGAGATACTTCAGTGATAGTGGTAATGGATTTACTAGTAGTTCGAGTCGACGTTTCGTCAGACATCTCGTCTTTCGAAACTTTCATTCGATTTATTAACTGTTAATAACTATATAATATTTATCTTCTGTAAAATTTATTTCTAGAACTAGTCATTTCTTAAGACGAGATTGTATCTAACTTGAAAATTTCTGATTCTTCATTTTTATGCTATTAACTAAATTCTTAGTAGTTCGAGTCAATATGGAATCCCACATTTCACATTTCTGTGAGTCTCGTTTTCCACTCAAATAAACTCAAAATTTTCGTTCTATTTATTATTTATCGTTCACCCAACACTTCAAACATTCTAATTAATATCACACAACAAATTTACTTTTTAATCCAGATTTATTAGAGACAAACCTAAATTTGTTTCAAACGCAACGAGAACGAGCCAAGAATCAAAACTGAACTTCGATGAAATTTCTACGATGTAGAAGATGTTCAGGGAAATCAGTGCGTTCCACAAATTGATACATCGATCGATCGACTAACTAATATTACACAACAAATCAACTTCTCAACCCACATTCGTTAAAGACAAACCTAAATTCGTCTCAAAACGAGCGAAGAATCAAAACTGAACTCCGACGAAATTTCCACGATGTAGAAGATGTTCAGAGAAATCGGTGCGTTCCACGGATTGATACATCGATCGATCGACGCGGAACGGCTGCGGCAACGGCGACCGGAGTCCGCAGAGGCGTCCCGACGTGCCTCGCCGTCGAATCGACGCCCAGCCGTTTCCGCGGCCCCGTATTCCTCCGGCCGCAATAACGAATTACGTGTAAGCACGTCTCAATCCGGCCGCTCTGCTCGTGAATTCCGCGCCCGACATTTCGCCGGGACGTCTTCCTCACGGCCGACCTCGTTGGCGACGCGGTGACGTCCCGCGGAACTTGCCAGGAGACCGCGGGAAACTCGTGGGAAAATTGGGACGCCAGTAGACGGAGTCTTCTCTTCCGCGCAGCGTGAAAGAAAAACTGTTCAACACTAGGTTTACCGAACGCGTCAATATGACGCAGATTGAATTTTATAAACATTATTTGGTAAATGTTTCAATCGGTTTTTTCTACAGTCTACTTCTGCATCTGCAATTTCCAAAATCTAAATCAACGAATATCAACTGTACAATAAATTCCCGTAAACCTAGTGTCAACGCTATTTTCAAATCTTCACTTCAGATTCTTCTCGATTCTTTTCAACTCAGTTCGATCATTTCTCTTCAATTGAATTTTCGACATTTCCTACAGTTAACCCTTTGCACTCGAGAATATTTTTCTCAAGAAATATTCATTATGTTCCGATGAAATGTCAACGATACGTTTTACGAGTAACATAAAGGAATACCTTGCATAAATTAAGTGACAGAACTATTTTATTTCGCAGGATCGTCGGTGTCCTAGGGAAATCATCGAGTAATCGCGATGCTATAATTCGATCCCCAAATGTTTGCTCGTGCACCGACGCGGATGGCCATTAAACAACGAAATATCTCCGGCGAAGGCGGATCTCGTACGGAAATATCAACCGGGCGAACATAAATTAATTTGCGAGTAATAGAATTAACCTCGTTCGATATGCGGCCGTACAGGAACGAAACAATGGTGCATCATTTGCGTAAATTAATTGAACGCGATCGGTGGATCCGGTAACGATGACATTCATTAGCGGACATCGCGGAGGTGTGCTCTGCGTTTGATCGCACCGGCCTAAGTAGAAAATGACGCGCGTGTAGTCAGACGCGTCGAACGTTAACGCTACGTACTATCGTGTTACTCAAAATGACCTATATCCTTCGGAATTATTGGGAAACGGAAATTCTATGGAGAAATTGTACAAAAAGCTTTGATGAATTTTCATCTGTTTTGTAGAAGGAAACGATTTCTGGAGAATTGATCGTTTGAAGAAGAAACTTAATCGATACAATTATTGCTCCAAAGTATATTATATAATATAATGTTAAGAAAAATAAATTTCAAGGTTTCTAAGTCATGAAGTTTTTATAAGGAAGCAATTCTCTGTAGAATTGATCATTTGAAGAAGAAATTTAATCGATACAATTATTGCTCCAAAGTATATTATATAATACAATGTTAAGAAAACTAAATTTCAAGATTCCCAAGTCACGAAGATATCGAAAGTACAGAACTTTTACAAAAATTCTTAACTTTATTCAGTAAAATGGAAAATTGAAAGTTTTAGGCTTCACTGTTTGCACTCGAAATGGTGACTCATTTGATTTGATATAACAAAATGAGAAAGTGTTATATATGATATCAAGTTTTGTATAATAGGTTATTATTAATTACAATTTGTAGGACTGCATATTAACGCTATTAACCCTTTGCACTCAGAACTATTTCGTCAGCAATTCCTAACATTTTCTAACTAGACAAAGGCGATGGTTTTTCTTAAATGAATTCAGAGAGAAATCACAGGTAAATTGAGGAACAAAGCTTTTTGTTAAAAAATATCATTTTGTAACATTTAACATTGTACCATTACTATTAATATATTTCAGATCTTTCTATATTAGGACTTCATTTCACTAGTTCCTTTGCATTTATTTATTTACTTTACTTATTTGCTTTACTCCAAACCGAGACGACATATTTGAATGCGGTAAAAATGACTTTATAGCAAACACATCAATAGTTATACTCTTGCCTCGTAACATACAAAGTGCACAGTTGTTGGATCTTTACAATTTCCATAAAAGATAAAAATATAGAAGTGAACTTCGCGTTTCCATCAATGTTAATCAAAGCGTATTACCTCAAGTATTCATTGATTTCAATAAATAATAAAGTATCATAAAACAAATTAAAGATACAGAGGTTGAAAGTCAAACTTACTAAAAACTGGGGTGCACTCACCCCACTCCGCCTTATTAAATTTTCTAATTTCATTGCGTCGAATCGGATGACGACTGAGAATCCACCTCTCGAGTGCAAACGGTTAAAGCTCGGCGGTTCCAGCGTTAAAGAAGCCGTCCCGGCGTTCCGAGGATTTCGCGGAGATTCCTGTTCGCTCGTTATTCTTCCCTGTCGTGCCGCGCTCGAGAAAGAAAGATTCCAAAGGGTGTTCCCCGCGCGACGAGCGAAAGGCACAGGCCGCCCGGCCGCGTCCGAACTGTGTCACAGCGGAAGGGAAGAAGAGCGCCGCCGAAACTGGGGAATTTCGGCTCGGTGGCGCGTGGCGACCCGGAAACGCGATCGATCTTTGACGCGTCGTTCGTCAATCGAACTTCGGGGCTTCCTCCGCGCGGAAGAAAGCGGGCCGGCGAAGAAATAGACCGAGTCGCTCCTCTCTTTCACCGGGAACTCACCAGAAAACGAGGAAAGTTGCGCTCGCTCGCGGCCAGCCGAGCGCAGCGCGGAGAACTTCGCGATAGGGGACTTTTTCGTTCTGGCGATCGATGGCCGGATATCTCCGTTTATACGCCGCGTTACCGGGATGTAATTCACGAAAAGAGTTTTAGTACTGGCTTCCGGGTTCACGTGTGTCGAGCTGGATGTATCTTTTCATGTTTTTGTATCCTTTGACGTTGATCTATCGGTTTCCGGAAAATTTTTATAGTTGGTTAACGATGGTTTCTAATGGTTGATGTAACTGGAT